GTGTGTGTGTGTGTGTGTGTGTGTGTGTGTGTGTGTGTGTGTGTGTGACAGTTTCTCTGTGGAGCTTTGGCTGTCCTGGACTCAGTCTGTGGACGAGGCTGATCTCACATCTGCCCGCCTCTGCCTCCCTGGGTGCTGGGATTCCAGGTGTGCACGTTTGCACCCGGCTGTAGGGCTTTGTTTTAAAAATTAAAAATGAATAAATAAACACTAACTCAGCCGAGCATCCTGAGCCTCACTGCCCTCTTTACTTGGCTTGGGCTGGGGACACTGGCCGTTTTAGCCGCCTCCACGAATACCATGTCCCTTCAGGATTTTTTTCCAGCTCAGATTCCAGAAATAATTTTAATTGCAGAAAGTGGACATTGTATCCTAACAGAAGGAGGTTAGTAAGTGATCTTAGTATTCAATAGTAAAATCTTTTTAAAGATAAATGGTGAGACCCTGTCTCTAAAAGTGAGAGAAAGAGAGAGACAGAGAAATATGGCTGTTCGGAGAAGGGTAGGATCACAGTGGTGGAGTAGTCACAAATAGCTTGGCCTTTCTTCACCAGTTACTTGAAAAGAGTGACATTACGTTCATTTGTGGAACGTAGCATGAAAAAAAGAAATAGATTGGGACTATTTCCCAAATAATACGTCAAGGCATGATGGCTGAAGTAACTGACATACTTTTTTTGGTTGCTCTGTTTTTGAACAGAGTCCTATGTAAGCCAGACTAGTCTTGAACTCTTTAAGGTTTGTTTGTGGTTTTTGTTTTTTGCCCCCTAGACAGGTTCTTATTGTGTAGGCCTGGGGCGACAGGCACTAGTCACTATAACCAGTGTGACTGCTTTCTAGTTGTACGTGCTCTAATTGGTGTCATCATGGGGCGCCTGCTGAGAGGAGTCGGAGTTGTATGTTTTTCTCTTCTCACCAGTAGAGAAGATTTGGTTTGTTAAAATCAAGGGGTAACTTTTTTAAAAGATTTTTTTATTTTATTTTATTTGTATGTGTGTTTTGTCTGTATCTATATATCCATACCATACCACGTGCAAGCCCTCTGCCCACAGAGGCTAAAAGAGGATGTCATATCCTCTGGAGCAGTTACAGACTGTTGTGAGTCATGGCCTGGGTGCTGGGAATTGATCCTCTGACTTTTGCAAGACAAGCAAGTGTTCTTAACTGCTGAGCCATTTCTGCAGCCTCTGAGATACTTCATACTTTTATGTATGTATGTATGTATGTATGTATGTTTTGTCAATATAGGGTTTCTCTGTGTAGCCCTGGCTGCCCTGGAACTCTCTTGGTAGACCAGGCTGGCTGGCCTCAAACTCAGAGATCCTCCTGCCTCTGCCTCCCAAGTGCTGGAATTAAAGACATACTCCACCATCACCTGGCTTTGAGATACTTTTAAATAATTTTTTTTTCTTTTTTGCAGTGGACTGAACCCAGGGCCTCATGCATGAAACATAAGTGTTCTACCTCTGAGCTGTGTATTCAGCCATATTTTTTATTTCCAAATTAGAATGTAGAAATGGGAATGTGAGAGCTAGGTGAGGTTTTCTTGTTTTTAAGGATTTATTTTATGTGTGTGAGTGTTTTGCCTGCATGTAATGTATGTGGCAAATGTGTGCGTAGTCCCTCAGAGGTTAGAAAGATTGTCAGAGCCCCAGAACTAGAGTAACAAATGGTTGTGAGCCACTGCACAGGTTACTGGAAACCTAATCCAGGTCCTCTGCAAGAGTAACAACTACTCCTAACCATTGAGCCATTTCTCCAGCCCCACCGGTTTTTTATTTTTGTTTTTAAATTATATTATCCTAAAAAAGAAAACAAAAACAAAAATATTCTGTCATCCTTTCTTTTTAAAATTGTCTTTGTGTATTTCTTTGTAGTTGGTCTCTTCCCATGACAATGTCCGCTTGCCACCGTGGCACTGGTATCGCCGTAAGTGGAGGTATGTATGGGCATTTATACACACACACACACGCGCGCCTCTGAAAAACTGCTGCTTTCTGACTCATCCCTGCCTCCTTTGTACTCAGCAACTTGATTTGGAATGAATGTGAGTCCTTAAAACTTTACTTGTTTTCCTTTTTTTGGTTTTGATTTTTTTTTTTTTTTTTTTTTTTTTGAGACAGGGATTCTCTGTGTATCCCTGGCTGTTCTGGAACTTGCTCTGTAGACTAGGCTGGCCCTAAACTCACAGAGATCACCTCTGCCTCCCAAGTGCTGGGATTAAAATTGTGCGCCACCGCCGCCTGACTCCCTTTAAGCTTTTCATTAATTCATTCCTTTAACAATGAATTAAGTTCCTATGTTCCCCCTATTCTCAGCTGCACTTGCTACTTTTATAAAAGACTGAAGTTTGGTTTGTTTCTTGGCACTGACGTGGTGGCTCACAACCATCTGTAATTCCAGTTACAGGGAATCCAGTACCCTCTTCTGGCTTCTCTGAATATTGGGCACACAATTGGCACACATATACATATGCAGTCAAAGCTCCATATATATAAAAATAAAATACATCTTTTAAAAGTAGTAGAAAAAAAAAACAGTAACAAGAAAGACCATGTAGGCTTCATCCTGGAAAAAATACATCAAGAATTCCCAGCTGGTCATGGTGGTGCAGGCTTTTCATACCAGCATACAGGAGGCAGAGGCAAGCCAATCTTTGTGAGTTGAAAGCGAGCCTGGTCTACATAGAGAGATCTTGTCTCAAACAAACAAACGAACAAACAGTTTCCTTTGAGATTCCCTAGATCACCATTCTTTTCACTTGTAATGCCTCCTTATGACTGAGACTTTAATTAGCTACATATAATTTTGAGCATGGGCTGTGGTGATGTTTCCATTAATAATTGGCATAACTAATCTTTGACATCTCAGAAGGTGTCTGATCATTTATGGTTTAAAATCTTATTTTTAGCCTTTGTGCACTGTTTGTACTTTGTTTTCGTGTCTGTATTCTCAATGGAAGTGCATGGGGAAACAGGTAGCAGGGGAGGAAGTGTGGAAAGTGCTTGACTGTACATTAGTTCAGGTGATGAACTAATGAGTCGGGGGATGCTGGGGGAGGCAGGTAGCCGGGACATGTCATGCTGACTAGTGTGACAGTGCGGCAGATAAAGATAACGAGGTGCTGCCAACCTGAGCTTTGATGGCACGTGGAGAGCTTTCCCAGGGTTCTTTTAGATGTTTTCATTTTTTACTGCAGAGGGCGTTCCAGGAAAAAGTGTCTGAAAGAGTTATAGGCAGCTTCTACAAGTGGCAGAACACTTACACTCACGCAGCCCTACATAGCACTTCACAGATGTAGAGCCTGCCAGACAGGTTCTGGTAGCCAAGAAAAGGCACCATCTGGTAGTTAGTTGGGTAGCCGTGGCTGCTCTGTATTGTTTTGCTGTTTGAAGATTCTCTACTCTGGCACCTAGGTTCTAAGAGGGGTCTAGAGGAGCTTTTCCCTGACCTAATATATTGAATGGCCAGAGGAAGATTTAGGAAGTCTCAGATTGAATTTCTTAGGTATTTTTTATATGGCTAGCTTAGGACTCAGTGTAGACCAGGCTGAGCTCAGACTAGCAGTCTTTCTGATTGTGAGACAGCAGTAAGGTGACTTCAAACTGTCCTGTGAGGTTTGGTTTTTTATTTTAATTGTGAGGGATATTAAAAGGGAAAAATGCCACAATTGCAATTTTTCATTATTATCAGGGTCCTAGTAGCTTGCCCTCCACTATAAACTTTTTTCCTGGTGCTGGAGATTGAACCCAGAACCATATCCATGCTAGGCAATCACTTTACTACTGAGCCAATTATTAGGCCCTCTCACTATATCATGAGACACAAAATCTGAAGGTGAATTTATGTTTTTCTAATTGTGTGTGTGTGTGTGTGTGTGTGTGTGTGCGCGCGCGCCAGATATATAGGTGCCTGTGGAAGGCAGGCTCCCTGGAAATGCACTATGTAGTCCTGAAACATACTGTGTAGACCAGACTGGCCTTGAACTCACAGAAACCGGCTGTCAGTATCTCCTGACTTCTGGGATCCAAGGCATGCATCACCACACCTAGATTTCAAACCTAGGTCTTGTATATGTTAGTCAAGCATTTTGGCAACTGGACTACATCTCCAACAAATATTCTGTTATTTCAAAGTGGTTTAGGATTATTTCAGGTGTCAAAGAACCCAGTTTCATACATTACATTCTGTGTAACTGATGGGCTACTTGTTTTTCTCTTAGGGGTTTATCTTTTTGGCCTGTCGGCACTGCTGCTTCCCGGGAACTTTGAGTCTTACTTGACGTTTGTGAAGTCCCTGTGTCTGGGGCCAGCACTGATCCACTCAGCCAAGTTTGTGCTTGTCTTCCCTGTCATGTACCACATGTTGAACGGGATCCGACACTTGGTGAGTTAATTGTGGATTTGTACATTTCCTGGAGAAAGGGAGTGGGAAGGCTGAGAGGGTCCTCTCCCTTGTTTCTAAACTTAGTGTTTTTTACCCTGTCCCACTCTTCCATCCCCTATTTTGATGCTAGGGTCACAGAACCAAGGCCTTACACATGTTATACCTTTGAGCTATGCCTCTAATCTTAGAGCGATTCTTTGTTTGTTTGTTTGTTTGTTTGTTTGTTGAGACAAGTTCTCACTGTGTAGCCCTGGCTGGCATGGAACATGCTAAATAGACCAGGATGGCCTTGAATTTGTGGGCTGACTCTGTACCCCAGGTGCTGGACTTACAAGCATGAAATACTACACTGATGGCCCAACCTTGTCCATCAGTTTTGTTATTTTTTATTCATACAGCATGTGTGTGTGTCAGTGGTCCCAGGGATTGAAATCAGGTAGTCAGGCCTGACTCTTGCCTTTTCCTGAGCAATCTTGCCAGCCCTCCAGTACCATTCTTAAGGCTACTTGTGCTGGATCTTTACTCGGGTCCTTTTGGGGAAAGCTGAACAAGGCCTCTCCTGCATTCCTTTATGCGTTGTGGGTTAGGCCAGTACTGAAAGGGATCAGTGTGAATGTTCCCACTTTTAAGAGGCATATCATTGGTCAAAGACCCCTGAAACTAGATCTGGCAAAAAAGACGTATCTGTTAGATGAATCTGAACTGTCCAGCACTGTACTTGACACTGGGCATTTAGTTATGAGCTGGCTAAGCAGTTGCTGCTTTCAGTGTAGCATTCCTTTCTACCCGGAGTGACAAGTCTGGTTACTTTTGCTTTCCTCACTTTAGATTATATTTGAGTAACTGGAGAAAATGAGAGAAAACACAAACTAAGTGCCAACGATCCTAAGGTGGTTGTTGCTGTTTGCTAGTGTGGTACTGGGAGTCGAACCCAGGACCTTGTGCGTGCTAGACAGGCACTGTGTTAAATAGCTGTATCTCTGGTCCCTTTTTAATTTTTTACCAGTTTAAAATTTATTTTTATCATTTGTATGACTTTGTTGCCTGCATGTGTGTCTGTGTGCCATGAGCATGCTTGGTACTTGTGGAAGCCAAAAGAGCATGTGGTGAACTACCGTGTGGGTGCTGGGGACCAAACTTGGATCCTTGAGAAGAGCAGGCAGTGCTCTTAACACTGAGCGGTCTCTCCAGCCTTTACCTCTTTTTTCCTTTCTTTCTTTCTTTTTTTTTTTTTTTTGAGAAGACCTCATGTAGTCAAGATTGGCTTCAAATTCACTATTTAGACAAGAAAGACCTTGAAATTCTTATTCTCCTGCCTCTAACTCTCAACTGCCAACTTCGGGGATAGTGAGTGCTATTGTTGGCTTTTGAGACCGGCTCTCTTGAAACCTCGGCTGGCCTTAATTTTGCTGTGTACCTGAGGCTGGCTTTGAACAAACCCATATTACTGTTCTATTTTCAAACAGGGCTTTACTAAATTGTCCACCCTGTCCTGGTCCTCACTCTGTAACCAGCTGGGCCTGGAATTCACTACCTTCCTGCCTTGCCCCCCTACGTAGCTACTATTACTTTCCTGAGCCTCCAGTCTTGGATAGGATTCCAAATTCAGATCCTAGACTCAGGAACATGTTAGTCAGCTGGAAACTGTTCATGTTGCCTCCTACATGATCCTGACACTACATGGTGTTAGTTCAAAACTGGTGCAAGGCTGGGTTGTGTTTCAGTTGGTGGAATGCATGCCTAGCATAGAAACCTTGGGTTCTGACTCCAGTATAACATTATTAAAGGAGAGATAGGACTGGGCATGGGACCACATAATTTTGACCCAAGCCCTCAAAGGCAGAGGCAGGCAAATCTTGGACTTTAAAGCCAGAGTGGTCTACATAGCAAATTCCAGATCAGAAACTCTGTCTTGAACACACTCATTCAACAAGAGCAGCAGAAACAACAACAAATAAAAGTGAGCACTCTGAGAAGAGGGTCAAGAGTTCAAGATTGTCTTTGGCCTCATAGAAACTTCAAGGCCTGCCGTAGCTACATGAAAGAAAACAAAATCTGATGTCTTGGATTTTGTTTGTTTGTTTTTCTTTTTTCTTTTTTTAGACAGTATTTCCTGTAGACTTAGCCTCAAACTGGCTATATGTAGGATGACCTTGAGCTCCTGAGCCCTCTGCTTCTGCCTCTGTAATTCTGGAGTTAACTATGCCAGCACATCCAGCTCTTCTCTTTAAATGCTTATTTTTATTGTGTGTATATAGTGTTTGGACTGCATGTGTGTAAGTGTGTGGTGTGTGTACCTGGTACCCACAGAGGCTAGAAGAGGGGATGGATTCCTAGGACTGGGCTAGAGATGGTAGTGAGCCACCATGTGAGTGCTGGGAGTCAGCCAGTGCTCCAGCCACCGAACCAGCTCTCAGCCCCAGCTCTAAAGGAATTAAAGTTTGCTCAAACTGGCCTTGGGGTGAGAACATGTTAAGAGTTCATATTTTGTGACCCACTAGTCTTGTATCTTTCTCCAGAAAATAAATAAAGTGTATTTTTTCCAGTCTTTCATTATTTCTGAACCCAAGTCAGTTGAATGCTTTTGCCTTAGTTTGAGCTTTTATATCCTCCTCATCAGAGCCAGCCTTAGAGACAGACATTCTCTGGATTCTAGTCTGGTCCAATAGGCAGTTGAATGAAAAAAAATAAAGTGAGAGAGTAAATGATATAGTAAATTCAGTGTATTTATCAAGTGTTCCCCAGAGCAGTGTTCAGTGTGACTTAAAAGTGACTCCAGTTCTTGAGGGACACTGGAGAGAGGAGTCAGTTACAGTCACGGCTTTTGAATCCACAGAACAAAGCTCCGAGAAGGAAATCAGCCGCTCAGGCAGGCGCTTTTTCCTGTTTGTTTTTGTCTTAATATGGACTCTTAATAGAACTCGCGCTTTTTGCCCTGATTTCTGCCTGTTACGGTAATCTCTGTTGAGATAAATTAAGCACCTAAAGGCTTTAATTAAGCCCTAAATCTGCTTTTGTTTTTCTTCTAACGAGCACTAGCTCTGGATGTGGGTCAGGTTTTAAATGTTTGCTGTGAAATTATGTATCTTAGTAGTTGCCTGGCTGGAAAGTCTAAGGGGGAAAGGAAAATGGTATGATTATAAAGGAGAAAATGTAGCCTCCTTTCTCACACACTCTCCCCTCTCCCCTGAGACAGGGTTTATCTCTGTAGCTTTGACTGTCCTGGGACTGGAGCTGTAGACCAGACTGGCCTTGAACTCACAGGGATTCACCTGCCTCTGCCTCCTGAGTGCTGGGAGATGTAGGGTCTTTGACCTAAGTCTGGAGGCTTCTCCTACTATGACTACCCAGCAGGACTCAGTGTGTCATTAAGCATGTGCCAGTATGAGCCAAGCAGCTTTTTGTGGAATCTGCTTAACATTTCATGTCAGCTAGGCAGAAACTTAGTGGGCATTGAGATGAGGGTATCTTCTTACCTTGGTATTTTTTCTGGGCTCCTGCCAAATTTCGCTGCAGTGACTTCTAATTCAGTCAGTTTTATAATGGAGGTTCATGTGGTAATAAATGTTGCGGCTGCTTTGTGTGGTAAGTGTGAACCCTGAACCCTGTGTTTTGCCTTAGAGCAGTGGTTCTCAGCCTTCCTAATACTACAGCCTTTTCGTACAGTTCCTCATGTGTGGTGACCCCCAGCCACAAAGTTGTTTTTGTTGCTGCTTCATGTAATTTTGCTACCGTTATGAATCATAATGGAATATCTGATATGCAGAGTATCTGATCTATTACCCCAAAAGGGTCCCAATTCATGGGTTGAGAATTGCTGCCCTACAGTGTTTATATCCTTAGAGAGGGTTTGTTTGTTTTGTTTTCAGTACTGAGTTCTAATTCAGTACACACAAGGCAAGTGTCTTACCATGAAACTACAGCCCCCAGTTCTTAGTGTTTTAAAAAAAAAAATGACCTCTGACCCAGTGGGTAGACAGTCCACTTGGTGGATAGATACCAACAACAATAGATGACTGAAATGAAGAAGGAATTAACAGACTAGAAAACACATAACATAGCATCTGTTAGTAGTGGTAAATATTTAGTGTCTAATAAGTTTTTATTATCTTTTATACACCTTTCTACGAGGCTCCAATTTAAAGGATGGTTTTTAGTGGGATCATAGTTTAAAAAAAGAAAAGTTTTCAAGTTAGGCATGGTTGAAAATGCCTGTAGCCCCAGCTATTGAGGAACGTGAAGTGGGAGGATCTCTTGAGCCTAGGAATTCAAGTGTGTTCTAGGTCATATAGTGAAGTCCTGGATGGGACAGAATGGAAGAAGGGGGCGTTGCAAGTTAAGATTCTGATTGTGGTGGTAGTGTGTACCTAATCCCAGCACTCAGGAGGCAGAGGCAGGCGGATCTCTCTGAGTTTGAGGCCAGTCTGGTCTACAGAACTAGTTCCAAGACAGCGAGGGCTACACAGGGAAACCCTGTCTCAAACAAAAACAAAAACAAACAGGGTTGGAGAGACATCGCAACAGTTAACAGCACTGGCTGCTTTCCTAGAAGACCCAGGTTCAAGTCTTAATACCTACATGGTCCATTTCCAGGAGATCTGACATCCTCTCACATGCATACAGACAGAACACCAATTCACATAAAAGAAAAACTGAAAAGTCATTTAAAAAAGAAAAAAACTGGACACGCCTTTAATCCCAGCATTTGAAAGGCAGAAGTGTGCAGAGCTCTGTGAGTTCAAAACTAGCCTGGTCTACAAAGCTAGTTCCAGGACAGCTATACTATATAGAGAAGTCCTGTCTCTAAAAACCAAAACCAAAACAAAAAAACCCAGACAAACAAACAAAGAGGATTCTTAGGGAGATGCAGTGCAGTTGGTAGAATACTTGCCTAGCATGTGTATGACCCTGGATTTGATGCCCAGCACTACATAAACTGTATACTACACTTAGAAGGTGGAGGCAGGAGGATCACAAGTTTAGGGTTTTCTTTGACTACACGGTGAGTTCAAAATCAGCCTAGGATCCTGTCTCCAAATAGAAGACGGGAAGGAATTAGTTTTAGGTCCCAAAATATATTCTTTAGAAGATCAGACCTCAAGGTTGATCTCACTAAAGAAGAATTCTATGATTGAATACCGTGCATACATATTCCCATTTGGAGATTCACTGGCTGCATTAATAAATTGCTTGAGAATATCAAAGTTATGTGTTGGCCAAATTCATTCAACCACAGAACTTTCAGTATCTCCACCTAATGCCCTACACTGCAGAAATATGTTTGGTCCAGACATAGTGCACACCTGTAATCCCAGCACTTAAGAAATGTAGGGTTACATGGTGAATTCTAGGCTAGTCTGGAAAATCTAACAAGATCTTTTTTTTTTTCCTCCCTCGGAGCTGAAGACAGAACCCAGGACCTTGGGCTTGCTAGGCAAGTGCTCTACCACTCAGCTAAAGCCCCAACTCCATGTCACAAGATTGTATCTCGGAAAACAAGGCTATGTTTTGAAGGAGTACCTTTCCAGAGCCACTGGTCTAGATGTACTGTCATGTGGGAGGAGGGCATTACATCTTTTCAGTCTGGAGCTTTTGTGTGTCGGGCCTTTGGCATTCTGGAGACCATTCACCCTAACACTACCACATGAGAGGACTTGATTTTCCTCCTGGGGGAGTGGTTGGCAGATACTGTATTGGAACTTTTAGAAGAGTGAAAGTGGGGCATAGGAATGTGGTGCTTTCCTCTGGAATCCCATGGAAGGGATGTACCCATTCAGTAGATAAAAGATTTCTGAAAAATGTTGTGAGAATGGTTCTAATTACTGAATATGGAAAATAAAAACTTTTTTTTTTTTTTTTTACAGACATGGGACCTAGGAAAAGGCCTGGCAATGCCCCAGGTTGAGAAGACTGGAATGACTGTCTTGGTTCTTACCCTGTTGTGCTCTGCAGGGCTAGCAGCCATGTGAAGAGCTGAGATTGCCAGCATCGTCCTATACATTATCATACTGATTTATATTCCTGTTTATCACTCTTCAGCCACCAAGGCTCTCCTTATTTGTTTAGATGTCATGTGCTTCAGAACGCAGTAGAGAAGTTTAAAGAAGTTTAACAGTAGAAAAAGGTCATTTCCCTGGGCCTAGGAGCCCTTCCTCCCTCTCCACACTTGACTCTGATTTGTGCTGAGAGTCAGCTTTCAGCTCCTCCTTGCTGAGACGGTGGAAACAATGCCAGTTCTGTGGCTGCCCTGGGTGCCATTGCCTGTGGGCTGCTGGCCCAAAGGACCCTTGTGTTCATTGGTCAGCGCAGGGCCTTTAACACCCACACAGTGTGATTGAGAGAAGAAAGGTGGAGGTGGAGGGGATTGTCCTGCCCAGCTAGAGGGAGATAAAGAGCCGCTTGGATCTTGGAAGCTCATGCCTGGGGAAAAGATGTACAGCTTTTAATGGATGAGAAAGATAAAAAAAAAAAAAAAAAAAAAAAAAAAAAAATTGTATTAAGTTTCTGTTCTGTCATTTCTAGTAAAACATGCCTTTAATGTCATGTTTTCTAATCTAACTTCATGTACCGTCTTTCTTTGGAAACGATTAAAGTACTAATCATTTTATGTTCAACTCTTTGAAATCTAATGATGGTTGGTAGAAAGGATCTAATTTCTGCCCCTTCCTTTGGATCTTGGACATTTACACCCTCCCGTATGCCCTTTCCTAGGAGGGAAATAGTTTGCCCTATAACTGACTACTAAAAAATTGGAGGTAATCACATTCAAGCAGTCGAGATTTTTGGTAAAGAAAATGAGAAGGCGGTTAAACATGTTGGGAGCTTTTGGTCCATTCAGCAGATTGAGGAACATCTAGCACCCAGGAAGGTGAGAGCTGAGTGCTAATAACCTAAAGAGACAGATTTGGGGAAAAAACTAGTAGAGAATTTTTTAAAGCAGGGCAGGGTTGCGGGGGGGGGGGGGAATATATATAATGGGAAAAGTTCTTTTACCCCTTTTGGGATCCAGAGCCCTTATTGTGGGAGCCCGCCAGCAGAGTCTAACGGTTCTTGAGTTGGGAGTGAGGATTAAAATTAATAAACTAACACAACACACAGGAGACTTTTTTAAGAGACTCCAGACTCACAGCCATAGCAGCAGCCTGACTTTATTGCAGAGAGCTTTTAAGCCAGAGTAAAAACAGCTCAGAACAATGAGTTAAATTCATAAGGAGTTGAAACAAGAGGTGTGATCTTCACAAGCTGTCCCACCTGCTGTCACAAACAAAAGGAGATGGACTTGCAAATTCTTCCCTGACTTCAGTGAAGGCCTGGTAAAAGCAGTCTTTCTGCTGAGATTTAAATATCAAACCAGCTGCCAGATCAAGGCTCCCGACACCTTAGCAGGGCTGATTTGTCTGTAATGCTAGGGGTCAAAGTTAGGTCCTTGTACCTGCTAACAAGTACTGTGCCACTGGATAAGTCCCCTAGCTAGGAGTGGTATTTTCATAGTTGTTTTTTTGTTTGTTTGTTTTGCCAACTCTGGAGTTAGATCCATGTTGGGTCTGGAGATTTGGCTTTATGGTAGTATGTACAAGGCTTATCATTCAGTCCCCAGCATCAAGAGAAATGCTACTCCAGGAGATTAATTAAAGCAGCGGATTGGAGAAGAATGCTTAGCTGATGGTAGTTGAACAGGAAGACAACATGAACTCAAATAATTGGTAGCAGAATTAGGGGGGTGGGGCGGGGCTGGGGACTGCTTCAGTAGTCCCTTGAAATCTTTTGAGAAAGGGCTTTACCATGTATCCCTGGCTAGCTTGGAGCTCTACCCAGACTACCTCCAGCTGGCCTGATCATGCTTCACCAAGTACTTAAGCTGACCCAGACAGGCCTTGAACCTATGAGCTACCTGCTCCAGCCTCCCAAGTAGATGGAATTACAGGACTATGCCACCACATCTGCTGTGCTGGGAGGTCTCAGAGTTTCTCCAGCTTCAATCATCTGTCTCCTAGGTTGTCCTTTGAGTTGGGTCAGTGTTCATGGGGAAACACTTTGCCTTTAAGACTTGGCAAGGGCATTCAGTTTAACAGTAAGTGCCAGAATGATAACACAGCAGAGGCAATGGTAGACAGATTTGGTGGCTGGAAATGAATGTGGACTTCCTAACTTTTTTTTTTTTTAATGGTTTCTTAACCATCTAGTGATTGAAGGGGAAGTAGGGCACCCTGGCTTCTTTCTTTTTCTATTTATGAGCTTGTCTGTTGAGATAGCTCAGTGGGTACATGCGCCAGCCACCAAGCCTGAGGGCCTGAGTTCGATCCCCAGGATCCGTGTGGCAGAAGGAGAGAACAGACTCCCCCGTGTTCTCCACGTGCTTGAGGCACACCTATGTAAGTACATTAAGTGAATGAATAAGGTAATAATAAAAAAGTTACGTGCTCTACTAACAACTGCACTCGTGATTTTGAAGACAACATTTGTACAAAATTGGGTTCTCTGAGGGTTGGCCCCTGTGTGGTACCAACCAGCTTCTTCTTGGTCATTGTGGGGGTGACACTGACATTCTTAGGAGCTGATATCCTTTTCCTCACTCTCTTCCCCCAGCCTTCCCTCTAATTATGGATCACAAAAGACAGTCAGAGAACACAGAGAAAACCCAGGTCAATGAGATTTAACAATGTTTATTTGCCCAAATTTGCACTTACTCCTGGCCCAACATTTGTCTGTACCACATTTCTGAATACAGGGCCTTACTTCTTTCAGTCAGTCCCCAAAATGTCATCACAGCCTGGCCTCTGGCCCTGCAGGGTTGCAGCTTTGTCTGGCAAAGTTGCACGGAACTCTTCACAAGTGTTTACTTCATAGGGTTTCCTGGCTTCAGGGATTACAGGGGGGGTCCTGGGAGAGTTGTTTGGAGTTTGGGGACCTGGAGTGTGACCTGCAGAGGGGTGGGGACTTGGAGGTTCATTTGAATCTTCGCTATGGATAACCAGGGAGCTGGGAATTATGGTTGGACTTGGTGCTTGTTGTACAGTCTTTGTGACCGATTTCTTCTTTGTCTTCTGACTGCTGGGGTCATGGGGCTGTTGGGGAAAGATGACCATGCTCTGGTTAGGCCCAGGTCATTGCCAGTCAGCCTCAGAATCCAGCTCCCTTTCTCCTCACCACTGGCAGAAGGAGGTCAGGATGTGAATAAGGATAGTTAAATTTAACTTCCCCCTGGGATTATTTTCTACCGAGGTTAGGGGTGGGGAGCAAGATGGCTTTGTTTTGTTCCTTCAGACCTCAGTGATTAGGGACTGAACAGCACAAGACAGTTTGGGTAGAGAGCCCCTCCCCTCTCTGGAACAGTGCTTGGCATAACAGTTTTAAGGCTGAAAAGTGTGGAGACAGTAAGGGTTTTGGTTAGATGGGAAGGATGGATACCTTGCCTAGGATTTCAGGATACAGCCCATTGCAGGCATTGAGCAGATCAGGGTCCTTGTGTATCCAGTTGGTGAGGGTGGTGGCAGCAGCCGTTGTACGGGCGGTCAAGTTCACCCGAGAAGGTGGTATCTTCAGGGGCATTTCCCAGGTGCTCATGAAGGTACCCCAAGGACTTGCCTGAAGGAAAAACAGATTGCTCACCAGGTCTTCAAGGCCGGTAAGTGCCCGCTCGGCAGCACTTGCTGGCTTCAGGTCCATTCGGTTACTTTGGCAATGCTTAGTAACGAAGAACCTGAGAGGCTGCTTCATGTGGGGTCTCTCCCTCTCCTCGGCCAGTTACGTTGCTGTTTTTCAGCCCTTTCCTTTCAACTCAAATTTTGCCTTCTCAGGCTAAGTGTGATAAAGGAGTCCTGTGTGTAAATATTATGGTCCGAAAACATTGTTTATATATTCATCATTTTGAGGACTTCATGTGCTAAGCACCGTGCTGACCTGGTGGATAAACTGGATAGGGAATTGGGGCATCAGAGTTTGGATTTTAATTTGCTTGTTTTTCGAGACAGGGTTTCTCTGTGTAGCCTTGGCTGTCCTGGACTCACTTTGTAGACCAGGCTATCTTCAAGCTCACAGAGATCCCCCTGCCTCTGGCTGGGATTGCAAGCATGTGCCACTGCCACCCGGCTGGACTTGTTTTTATGCATCTGCTCTTTTTGTTTTGTTTTGACACAGTGTCTTTTTTGGGGGTGGGGCGTAGGGTGCAGGGTTTCTCTTTGTAGCCTTGGCTGTCCAGGACTCCCTTTGTAGACCAGGCTGGCCTCAAACTTATCGAAATTGACCTACCTCTGCCTCCCTGAGTGCTGGGGTTAAAGACGTGGGCCAAAGCCACCCGGCTGACAGTGCCCAGCTGACAGTATCTTTCTATATATTCCTGGCTGTCCTGGAGCTAGCTCTGTAGACCAGGCTGACGTCAAACTCAGAGATCCTCCTGCCTCTACCTCCTGAGTACTGGGACTAAAGGTGTGCACCACCACACCTGGCTAGCTCTTACCTTTTTTAAAGGGATGGAGGTGGGGAATCTCACCTTGGAACGGGGCACTGAAGGTAAGAGATGACCTCGATCGTTGGCAATTATCTGAGTGTAGCCTTCATGGGTAGTGATTTTCTGTGGTGGAGGTGGAAAGAGAGAGGAAACTGAAACGAGTGTCAGAGGGGCTTGGAGTGAAGGCATGGGAAAGGAGAATGTAGACCATTTGAAGGCTAGAGGAGTTCGGTGACAGAAGAACATGAGGGCAGACACTATAACCTGGTGGGGGGGGAGGGGAGGAAAGGGGCTTGGAATACCTGTTTTGTTGGCTTGCTAGGAGACCAATTCTGCAGGTACTTGGGTGAGAAAGCATTTTCATACTGTGGAGAGAAAGAGAGGGGTTTCTGTGAGGCTCAAAGGCTTCACTGTGAGAAGGGGTGTGTAGAGAGGAAGCAATCTTAAGGGTGGCGGGAACTAAGGTGATGGGTTAATGTGTAAAAGGAAAGTGAAGTGGGTGCTGAGTCTGGGAAGAGAAGGAGCCCACTGGAGCTGGGAGGGAAGGAGGAAGGGATTGAGAACAGTATAGAATATTTTGTTATGTTTTTTAAAGTACCAATTAAATGTTAATATTTGGAGTTTATTGAGTTCCAGTGAGCATTGCTAAACTTAATTTTTAGTTTTCACGTTGCTGATAAAACCTTTAAAGTTACGTTTGTGACTCACTCCGTCGGGCAGTGCTGGAGAGGACCAAGGGTAGGTAATCAAATCCATCTTTTGCTACCTTCTTTAGCTGGCCAAAGGGCAGAGACTGCCATCTATTTATCTATTCATTTATTACAAACATTTATTACAAGCTATGACAGAAGGTAGTTGGCCATAACGGCACACATCTGTAAGCCTAGCACTTAGCAGTTGAGGCGGGATGATTTTGAGTTTGTAGGCCAGTCTTGGTGGGCTACATAGTGAGTAGCAAGACCTTACCCTCCCTACCCCAACACACACGTGAAATAAAAAGAAAAGTGCTTGGCCTGGAGTTCCATTTGTAGACTAGGCTGGCCTGGGGTTCCGTTTGTAGGCTAGGCTGGCCTGGGGCTCCATTTGTAGGCTAGGCTGGCCTGGAGCTCCGTTTGTAGGCTAGGCTGGCCTGGAGGGAGCTCTGTTGTAGGCTAGGCTGGCCTGGGGCTCTGTTTGTAGGCTAGGCTGGCCTGGAGCTCTGTTTGTAGACTAGGCTGACCTCAAACCTGCAGTGATTAGTCTGTCTCCCTGTTCCAAGTACCAGGGTTACAGGCATGTTCCACCATGTTCAGACTCATATATTCATATTCTCTGTCTTTGTCTCTCTCCATCTCTGTCTCTGTGTGTGTGGGGTGGGGGGGGGCCTGTCTCACGGAGCTCAGGCTAGCCTTGGACTCAGTATGTAGCCAAGGATGCCTGGAACACCGGATCCTCCTGCCTCTGCCTCTCAAGTCCTGGGATCATGGGGGAGCAGCTCTACCCCTGCCTCAGTTACTGTATTTTGAGTATTTCCAAAACAGATCAGAGATAACTCTCATGTAAATAAATATGACTTTGTTACTTGACTTACAGGCATAAAATGTTTACTCTGACCTGTAAAGATAAACTCACTGGCTTACTCTAAAGCTTTAACTCAGATCCTTTTCCAGTGTTCCCGGGTCCTCTGAACCACGAGGTGAAACACATCTCAGCCCATTCAGCATCTGCTTAAGGATCAGAATCTGACGGGAGCGGGTAGATCAAGGGTGAATCTGGAAGGTCAAATCAAATGTAAAGGGGTAAAGAGCGAGAGCTTACCTGGTTGGCACTGTAGTTAGAGGCCATGATCCTGTACTGTTTGGCCTTGTTGCCTGGCAACAGCAGAAGCATGGCCTTCTGGGAGTACCTGCCAACCGCAGGGGTCGGCTACCTTCTGTGGCTCACACTGCCCCCTTCCTTTCTCTCTGATAATTAGGTTCATTTTCCTTTTAGAGGGCGGGGGACCAAACAAACATGAGAAAATGAACTTCAGAACAGCCTTGTACACTCGATCCTCCTGCCTTTGCCCCTGAAGTCCTGGGATAACAGGGGAGTAGCTCTACGCTCGTCTCAGTTACTATATTTTGAGTTTTCCCAAAACTTAGAGATCACTTTCTTGTAAATAGCTTTCCCCCCAACATAAGTTAACCCGGCTTCAAAATTTCCAGGTTGTCTTTGAATGACATCTTCAACTATTTAATCAAACTTTGGGACCCCAAGAGATGCGTTTGTGAGGTGTTGTGGTATAATGAACTGGCTGTAGTTCTAGAAACAGAGCCGAGTCTTTATTCACCATGGTGCTATGTGGCCTAAGCCATTGGCTTCGCTTCACTGAATACCTGTCATCACATAGTGTAGCGATGACCTGCTTTGTCCAGCAAAGGGTAAAGTTAGTGAAATGCCTGGACGATGAAAATGCACAGTGGGAACTGGACTCTGCCAAGAAGACACTGTTCCCAAAGGCACAGTGCTTAGGAAGCAACCAGCATGTTCGTTCCCAGAGGGAAACAGATGTCTTGTCTTTGGTCCTGATGTGACTCCTGTCTCCTCCATCCGTCACAGAACCCAAGAGCACAGGTTCATAGTGTTGGTTAGGATCTGGCAAATCGGGACCTAGGGAGGGAAACGGAGCAGAGATAATGAGAGAAAGTCTGATGCAAAAGCACCAGGTTTGGGAGGACGGAATGATGATGTCAGGGCTCAGACCTGTTAGCTCTAAAACCAGAAAATGCTCTGAGACACACCCATTCTCTGTTAAGCCCATCTTCTCATCTCCCAGGCTGTTAGAACTAAAGGGGGCTTGCCAGTTATATAGTCTCCAGTTTTCAAAAAAGAAACCAGTTGTGCAAAGATACTTCAGAGCCAGGTATGGCTGTGCATGCCTGTGACCCCAGTATTAAGGAAGAGGAGGCAGGAAGATCTCAAGTTCAAGATCGGCCTGGGCTACATGGAAGGACCCTGCCTCCAAAAAAGAAAAAAGGAAGGGACTCTGAAAGAATCAGACTAACTTTGTAACCTATGTTTCTTTTAACTGCCTTATAACCTACAGTTTTAGGCCTATGTTCATTAAAGCCTTTTAGTGCTTCTCCAGAGAGCTGAGGAATGTAAAAGTTCCTGCCATCAGCCATCTGTGAGGGCAGAGATAAGGAAGAGAACAAACAGAGAGCCCTACTAAATGAAGAGTAAATCACCGATTGGCGCCTGTGAAATGGGCCTTGTTTGAAAACCAGGCCAAATGACCCCAATCCTTTTCCTGCATAGCTCCTGACCTTTGATCCAAAGCCTGTAACCCCCATTCCTCAGAATAGACACGGGATAAATTAGTTACTCTCCCATCTTTAACTGTGGCTATATCTCATGTGGCAAAAAATTCCAAACTGACTTGGAGATCAGATATTTACGGCAGGACTGACTGGACCTAAGGGTGCCCAGAACCAACCAATTATTTTAAAAGTTAAACACCTCATCTGATCCTAAATCCCCAAGAAGGGAATCCCAAGAGATTCCCGCCTTGTGTTTTTTAAAAACCTAAGGTCTTTGTCTCCCGGAGCCACTCCTAGCTGACCAGCAGCGGTGATCCCATTGCGCAATGGTCAAGAGGAGTCTCTTGCGTTTTTGCATCGATGGATGATTAGTTTCCTGAGTTCTCTTCATACCTTCTTATATTTAGGCTCTTGCTGGGCCTAAAAACTCAAGAGACCCCCTCCTTCCTGGGTCTGAAGGGAGTTAACAGTCGCTGGGGGAGGGACTCACAAGGCCCCAGCCTTTATGTGGAGCCAGTGGCGGTTAATGGTTCCTGGAGAAGGACAAGGCCTTTTTCAGTGTTGTAGCCAGTCGCTGGGAGGTTGTCCACGGAAATAACCTCCCACTCTGAGCTCAGCAGGACACACTCGCCCGGGGGTGGTACCTTTATTCCCAGCATTGAAGAGGCAGAGGCAGGTGGATCTCTGTGAGTTTGAGGCCAGCCAGCTCTCCATAGTGAGTTCCAGGCCAGCCAGGTCCACATAGTGAGACCTTATCTCAACAACCAAACAAGAACAAAAGTCCACATGAAAGTTGGGAGAGGCTTGTTGGGAAGCAGAGGGGGTTCATTGGAAGTGGGGGGGCGGTTAAGAGTTTAAGAGGGTAAATATGCTCAGAATCATGCATCTGTGGAAATGTCACCCTGAAACCTATCCTCATGTAATTAATAGAAGGCTGATTTCAAGACAGTGCGGAGCGGGGAGAGCTGGAGAGATGGCTCAGTGATTAAGGGTGCTTGCTGCTCATCCGGTGGACCCAAGTTCCCGAGCACCCATGGCTCACAACCACCTGTAACTACAGCCACACGGTATCCAACACCCTCTTCTGAAATAACTACCCCAACCCACACATACGATAAAAAAAATAAATTTTTTTTTTTCAAGAATGCAAGCTGCATGTGGTTGCTTCTACCTGTGATTCCAGCCCTGGGGCTCCTGAGGCAGGAGGATTGCTATAAGTTTGGATCTAGCTTGGGTTACTTGAGACTTTGCCTCCAAAATTCTGGGGGGGGGGTAGATAACTGTTATCCCATCCAACACACCCAGCATCAGGACACCCCTGACCCTTCAAGAGAATGGGGTAAGAACAGCTCTTACTATCGGCTGTCAGTTAACAGCTGGGTCCTGGGGCAGACGACAGTAGACCTATGTGCTTTGTCCCTGTGCTTCTCATTACTCTCCAGAGGGGACAGGAGTTATTTTAGGACCAAGGACCTTCTCTGTTCTAGAACATCCATTTTGCCCACAAAAGGCCAAGTGACAGTTTTGCACCCGTGGTTTCTCTGCGGGTTTTTTGTCTTCGTTACCAGCTATTAAAGCAGTTTTCCTTAGCTCAGTGTGTAAACCTGGACCTACGTGAGGACAACCACCAGTGTCCAACCTGGAGCCAAATTGTTTGCTTGGAATACGAGGCCTTTGGAAAGCTCATCTCCCTGGGCCTTAGCAACCATGTACGAAAAATAAAGATTGCCCTAGTTCTGAGCATTAACTGCATATAACACACCTTGGTAAGCACTTAATTCAAAGAGGCCCAATAGTTGTAATGTTGTTATTGGCTTATGAGTACCCAGAGGGGCAAATGTGATGGTGCACACACCTTTAACCCCAGAACTGGGGAGGCAGAGCTGGTGGAGCTCTGTGAGTTTGAGGTCACCCTGGTCCTGATCAGCCATGGCCACACAGACTTTGTCTCAAAACAAACAAGCAACAATTTAAAAAAAAAAAAGAAAAAAGAGTATCCACAGGGACCATCAAGATGGTTCAGTGGGTAAAAACACTTGCCAAACAGGCCTGGAGGTGTGAGTGTGACCCCAAAGCCCACACAAAAAAGCCAGCTGCATCTGTAGCCGTAGCCGTAGTGTTTCTCCGCCCAGATGGCCATGCGAGACAGCCCCCCCTCTCCTACAGCAGGCAGAAAGAGCAAGGAGAGGACAGGCTTGAGAGGTTTTCTCCAATTGCCATATGCTATGTGGTACACGAGTGCAAATTCATTCATTCTACACACGCACAGAGATACATGTTCAGGTTCTGTTAAGCAGAAAAGGGCGGGGCACTGGAAAATTACGGGTGTATGTAACCTAACCAAGGTAAGAAGCAAAACCTTGAGCCTCCAAGGACGAGGAATCTGGAGAGTAGAGCCTGATCACAGGAGAATTTTCACTTTTCTCCTTCAACATCTCTTTATCTCTTCACCACAGAAATCGATTCTTATTTCTCCTCAGCCACAGTCATTTGCTGAGACACATTCTCCAGAGATAATGTGAGTTATGGTCCCGAGAGTCTGACAGTGTAATGGGGGAAGGGGGTGGAACAGAAAGGACAGAATTGATTCTGGCCAATGAAAGGGCAGGGATGTGGCTCAAGTTGGTAGAGTGCCTGCCTCTTAAACAGGAAGCCTTGGGCGAGATCCCCAGCCCCACAGAAGTCAGGAGGTGTCCAGTGCCTGTGATCCCAGTGCTTGGAAGGCAAGGCAGGAGGATCAGAGGTTCAAGGTCATCCTCAGATGTATATTGAATGGTTTGAAGTTAGCGTTAGGTTACCTGTCTCAAAATCATAAGATTAAATTAAATTAAAAAGGGGCCAGCACAAAGGGTCAGTGAGTGAAGGTGCTTGCCACACAAGCCTGGTACCCTGGCTTTTATTCCAGAGCACACATAAAGACGGAAGTGAGGAACCACCTCCATATGTTGTCCTCTGACCTCGTATCCACACATCACACACACACAGACAATAATAAATGAAAAGTTAAAAAATAAAATAATATCCCAAGTTCAAGGTCATCCTGAACTATACAGTAAGACCCTTTCTCTAAAGAAACTAATTAAATAGCTAGATCAAGCCAGTCACGGTGGCACACACCTTTAATTCCAGCACTCAGGAGGCAGAGACAGGTAGCCCCTGATTTTTGAGGCCAGCCTATGATTAGCCAGGGCTCCACAGAGAAGCCCTGTCTCAAAAACAAAAACAAAACAAAAAACCTGTTAGAACCAGTTATCAGTTTTCATATATTTTTTTCATACATAAAAGAGAACACCTTATACACACAAGACATAAAAATAAATAAAAACCTCTAAAAACAAAAATCAAGCTAGGTATGGTGGCTTAAGACTTTACATCTGGCACACTTGAGGCTGAGGCAGAAGGATTGCTATGGGTTTGAGGCTAGCTTGGACTACACAGGAAGATTCTGTCCAAAACAGAACGAGATCACGTGCACATGTACCTTCCCATGCTCTAGTATACAGGGCCTCTTTCCGTGGCCGCGCTGAGGCTCCCCCACGATTTCCCAGCTCACGGGCAGTGCC